GTCACCTGCGACGTCGAGGTCATCAGCGGATGACACAGGGTCACGCACAACGTGAGTATCGCCACCACCTCAAAAGAGCGGTCTCATGAGGTGTACGAATGTTTATCCGGTCTCCCCATTCGCCGACCACAAGCCAGGGCCTCCATAAGCTCTTCTCTCAGCATCAAAGACCAGCTTGAATGAGTCAGAATTGCATTTTTACTGTACACTTTCGAAAAATTATATATTTTATTTATTTTTCCAGACTTCTATAAATAATTATTAATGAAACTTTTAGCAACTTCTTTTTAATCACTTAATCTGCATGTTTGAGATTTAGCCATTTCCGTATCCTATATTTACACGCGGTTTATTTGGTCCTCGCCAATTGCCGTTGTTTAAATTACTCATTTCTGACTTGCACTCAAAAATTGGCGCGAGTTTAACTCAGTGTGCAAATTTAATTCGGCACAGAATAGGTATTTATTGATTTTTTTCTTCCAACCACTTCACCCGGTAAATCAATCATCGAAGCGTTATGGCGGATTTTTGCATAATTTTTGCTGTAAAATCGTGAATTGTCGGATTTAATTAAGTGTGACAGCTGATTGTCTTCACTTGGGTTTGAATCTCGCGGAAGCAGTCCCTCCCCCAGGCATTCAGAACCACCCAGTAAACGACGAGAGTGAGGTTTTTGTCAAAAGGGGACATTCGTATGTCTTTGACACACTCGCCTGGCGTGTCAAAAGTTTTGTCGACACAGAAGGTGGCTTGCGAGAGGGGACCGATGCATCAAAACCACCAACGACACGCAAACCACAAACGTCTCATGCCACATGAATTGCGCGACTGTGATGTCAGTTTGACACTTGGGCATGAGGGAATGGGCGTGAATAACATTTGTCTTCTCCACTGAAAACACGTTTATCCCAAAAGGAAATAACAGCTTGTCATTACTTTCGGCCTCTCCGTAAGCATCATCCTAAACTACAAATTTCAGTACCTTTAATGTGCAGATATCTCCGAAACGACTCAGTAATTTAAATGCGTCGTCGCCTCAAGGTCTAATCTGAGAAATTCAGCAAGGCTGTGAGAGATTTAGACACTAGTCCATTCGCGGGACAGTCGCTTTGTAGAGGAGAGGATGTTTAATGCACGATAAAGAATCAATTTTGAGGTGACAGTCTCTGCCTGAATTACCCAAACGCGGTTGCCAACATGCAGATAATATTTAATATGGTGATTTTCCGACAGTTTGGATGGCCATCACCTTCCAGACTGTCACGACAGCATTGACATCACCTCTCACACTCGACGTGTGAACACCCACGTTGTCTAAATGTTGGTGCACCTCATGAGAGCGCTCTTTTGAGGTGGTGGCGATACTCACGTTGTGCGTGACCCTGTGTCATCCGCTGATGACCTCGACGTCGCAGGTGACGAGCAGCCGGTGTGGCCACAACCTACTAATCGATCTCGGCATCAGCCAAGCTTGGATGTCGCAGGCGAAATCGACGAAGTCGCATCCCGTGTCTTCGAGCAGTGGCTGCATTCCAGAATTGTGGTCGACTGGGTACCACGTGAATCTGCCATTCACAGCAGTCACTACAATGACGTGGCGATATCATCTTCGATTCACTCTGGTGAGCGTCACCTCCGCAGTCCTATCCACAGTGGAGCTGGCTGTCTTCGCGAAGCTGAATATTCACCCTCACGACGGTTGCTTCACAAACCACACTCACCAATGACTTGGAATCCACAATGCACAATTCGGCTGATACTTGAGTGGTCGTGGGTGCGGCAGCTTGAGTGGGTCCTTCATGACGTGGAGGGAGGTTCGACACCTCTGCAGACAAATTACTTCTGTCATCACATTTAGTCAAGTGCAAAGACGAGACGCGGTGTACATCGGAGTGGTGTTGCATTTCGTGGTTCGTGGTGGATTGACGTAGCGCAGCTGGAAGTTGAGCGCAAGCTGAAGTTCCACATGCGGAGCTCTCGAATTCGTGTGGGTGGATTCTCGCAGACTAGGCCACCACAGATTCGGCCGCTAGTTGACTAGGCGCCATCATCAAATTGTGATGTGGAGATGGCTGCCTTCGTGGGAATGTGGGCTTCTTCGTCTTTCTCTTCAATGGATCGTTCATGAAGTGGTGGTGGTGGCGATGGTGTTGGTGCGTGTTGAGTGGTTGATACAACTTCACACTGAAAACCCCACCCTTGTGCATGCAAATTGGAGAGAAGTAAAGTGTTTTAAGTGTTGTCTTCCAACCTGTGAGTTGAATTACATCGCGGGAAGTTTTGCGAAATTCAGCAATGCCTAATCATCTTAATGGGAGGAATATCTGCTTCGGATATCTTGTCATTTTTGTAATTTGAAAACAATTACACCCATTTCATGTTTACTTAAAAACCACCTTCAAGAAAATGGCGTTTTCATGTGGCCATTGATAAAAAGTCGAATTGCTTCATGCTCACACGCGAACGACACACTTAAAAACACACTTTTTGCATTCTCAAACACCTTCACGTTGCCCTGAGGAGGCACAAAGGAGACAAATTATTGGCTTTTTTAATTGGTGTTTTTTTCTGGTCTTTGTGGGGAAATTAGAATATTTATGATCAAATCTAGTTGGATTTTAATGTGGTCTCGATGATTTCCACCATCACCTCTTCACGTCGCTCAGAACGTCCCTCTGCAAAAGTTCATGGTCAAGTTCAAGTCTTGTTTCACTTTCTCCAAAATGTGAAAGGATTTTCAAGGTTGAGGACACCCTGGCGATACTGGTCATGTTTCTGATGGTCAGGTTACTAGAAACATCCCGAATAAAAAGATATTTAAACGACTTACGCGTTAATTCAATAAAATTGGTGCTGCTTTGCTCCTATAAAGATGACTCACACCTTCCAAAATGCTCATCCAATCACCACTATTCCCCTTTTATTCGCTCAAATTTGGTTGGTTTGGGACAAATCGATAAAGTCAAGCGTCAACAGACGCAGTATCACACACCATAAGCGGTTTTAAAGACCTCCAATTTGTTGAACAGCTTAAAACAAACTTTCTGCTTGAAATGATTGATTTTAGGAGGGGAATTTTGCAGGCTGGATAAGCAAATGTACCAATCTGTCGTGTGACACTCACAAACGCCCATCACACTGCCTAGCCGACTGACATGACAGGTGAATTAATGGGTGCTCACGGTTGAAGAGGAAGGACTGAGTCCGGGGCATGACAAACGAGAAGTGACATCTCCACTGCAACCTGTCATCTCCACATGTCTACCTACCTCACCCTCTCACTCAGGCTGGCTTGCCTGTTCTTGACAGGTCGCGTGCATGCAAGAAACATTTGATAAAGATTAAGAAATAATGCTTAATTGGAAATGTCGCTGATCGCCTTGAGAAGTGCTCGTGTCAGGATTTAGTTCCTTGTTGATGAAGCTCATTTGAAGCCATTCGGCTGTTGGTCTTTGTGCGACATCTTGGAGAATTTGAACTCATTCTCGTGATTGAAGATTAGCACCGTAGTGTCTCATGGTGAAGTTAGCAAAGAGAGCTCAATTTACTAGCCGATTAAAAAAATGATTGGATTCTAGTTCACAAGCTCCAGATTTCGCAGTAATGATCGGGTAGGTTTCGATGACCTCAGAGGTCTTTGGTTTCAACTTCAAATACAAAAGACAGCAAACGATTTGACGTCAAAAGTAGCTCTACGATTTGGGAGTTGGCGCTCTGCCGACGTCGGAATTACTGGGTGCGGTGTCTTCAATCACCGACAACGTCACAGAGACCAACCCAGTAGCCTGTCACCGCTGTGTCACTTGATAACACCTTGACAACGACGAAGTTGTCCTGCATACACCCATGAGGCCTCATTTTGACGTTCGCGTATGCTCTCAAGCACTCTCAAGACGGCCTTCTGTGTTTTGGCACTGTGTGGTAGTGAGAGCGTGTTTGTGTACTTTGATGAATTGCCGCATTGGCTTAGTTTGAGACTTCGCTCAGTGATGCACATTTGCAGAATCTGGTGTTTCTTAACTGACGTTTCAACGGAAAGTCATCTAGACCGGAAGCACCACCCAAACACGGTGAGTTCCAGATGATGAAAAATCGATTATTTGAGAAGTTGGTTCAGGGAAGATCTACAAACAGGCACCTCACAACCACTTAATTTTCCCAAGCACCAATGAAATGAGAAGATATATCGAGGTATTTAAAGAGAAAATTTGAACCAATTAAAACTGTGTTCGCAATACGACCTCTGCTTCCGATGTCATCTCGGCAAGTGTTCGAATACGACTATTTTTCTGTTGCTCGACGTCTTTTGATTGGTTAAATTAAAATGCATTCTATTTGCTGATGAGCTTTAAGCTCTGTAGAAGACATCAAACGTTGACCCCAGGTTGGTAGGCTCTAATTACATGAACTTGACTTCACACATCTGCAATGGCTGGTCACGGAGAAGCGCTGTTAGCCATGGGAAGGAACACTGTCCTAACGGGAAGTGGAGTGATTCGCTGTTTCAGAAAGAGGCATTTTATGAAATCGGCAACACAACGCGGTACTTGATGGCCATGAAAACCAAATATCCACTGTAGTGTTTAAACTTCCACAGAGTTGATTGCCGTGTTTGAGCATATTCGTCCAGCATATTTGTCCAAATCCGAACTGTTGCATGGAGTTGGCTGTGAGGTCTCTGAACGAGCTCTCATCGCCAGTGAAAAGTCGATTCCAGAATGAAATCGGTTGATGTGCACTCTGATTAGCAAAATTCAACCTGTCTGACCTCTGTTGTATTGAATGCTCACTTCTTCTGAAGCTGCGTAGATGTGCGCATCTGGAAGGAGATGATGGATTTGAAGTGGTTAATTTTGAGGCTTGTGGCTCCGCGTAACAGTTCTCTCCACTGCAACCAGAGCCACGAATCAGCGCATTAAGTTTGTTTAAATAAAATGAATAACCTTTTAAACGGAGTCAAAGCGGAGGATGATATGCAAAGAGGTTCATACTGACATCCAAATTCCCAAATCAACAAGAATCTAGCAAACGCTATTGTAGCATATTTCATGGTTTTGTAAGCTCTGAAACTGCTAAACCAGGGGTTCAAGTTCACAGCTGTGTGGAAGTGTCTGTAACAGCCAATCAATTTTAGCCGTTTGTGACTTCTCGTGAGCAAATTTCCAATTCTATGTTTTCCTTAATTTTTCTGCCCCTCCACTTTTATTACGTGCAGATAAAATGCGTTTAAATTGACTGCTTGATTGCGTAGTCAGCTCAATCATTGCGGATCAACTGATTTTTATAGAAATAAAAAACTATTTGTGTGACCTTGACAACAAACCCTAATAGCCAATGAACCAATCAAGTGCGGCCAATTTAAATCCGTGCATTTGACAACAAGAACTGAAAATTATTACCTAATCAGACAGCACTGTACAGATTCTAGACGCATCCGAGTGCCAGTTGAAATGATACACCGAATATGTTTCGCAATTTACTAGCAATCTGCTACGTCACATTCTTCCATTCACTCATTCAGGCGAGTGTTTACCAATCAAGACACGAGGTGTGTGACGTCACTTCAAAACACACCCTACAGCCTCAATTTATCGAATCTCGGTTTGCGTTTTTCGTGGTAGGGCGTGGTTGACATCAATCATACTGCCATCTGTCGCTGTCGTTGGCTAGACGCCGAGACAGAATTATGTGAAATTAGACCTATACAGCAAGCTACCGACAACCAACATTCGGCGATCTGCTATTGGTCAGCTCAAGGTCAAATCCAACAAAGATCACATGCCACCACAAAGGGATGAAAACAGCGATTTACTTGTGACAAAATGGAGAGTGTGTATGACAAAAGTAGGAGACATTGACTGGACAGCCACTGTGACACAAATATTCTCCTTTGGACACCAAAAAAGTGAGGGTTTTTTTTTCAAAAATTGGTTTTATTTAATGATTCAGTTAGGGTTTCCAGAGAAGCCGTTAACTTTGCGGTAATAGAGAAGAGGTGGCATGGTATTTCGTAGACTTCCAATTTCACGAAGCGCACAGACACGGTGGCGTCTATTCAATGAGTAAGCAGACGCTTAGGAATTAATGTCACACACCAATTGGCGCTAAATTGTGTCGTCAGGTTTGTAATTCTTCGCTACATTGTCTCTCTACCGCTGTCCATCACTACAATCTCTCACCAGTGCACGCCAATTGGTAGTTACAATGATGTGGATGATGGACACGACACGCTATCATTGTTAGCTGGTGATATTTCAATCACTGATGCAAGTCGTGACTGACAGAGTTGGTGGTGAGTCAAAGGGGCCTGGTTTACACCAAATTGCCCGCGTTTTTTGATTGGCAGGCGATGGTGTGCACACACCTCAGAAATTGAGTTTTCCTACGTGATATTTCTAATACAACATTTTGGGCAATGTACATTATGAAATGATTTGTCCAATTAAATTGGGGAACACACATTGCTTCATTATCGCTGGACGAATTCTTCGCCGTGCGCCAAGCCTAATCAACCAATAAAAGTAGTGATTTCGGTTCAACCAGAACCGTCAACACACACCCGATTGGCTTAGACAAATCAGGTCGAGCAGCGATGGAAACGTGATGGACAGCCAAGGTCTTATTATTGCGTGTGTTTTGATAATTCCGTTTACGTGAGCAGTTGATCTGATGCCTGTCAACGCAAGACACCTGTCACAGTCAAAATGCCAAGGGGGATTGGCGCGCAGATCCAGGTCTACATCAAGTTAATGTCGAATGATTGTTTGCATCAGACGGTAGGAAATGCACCAACCGAAACAGTGTGACGGGATTTGGGAGATTTCTTGGGTCTCGTGGCTTGTAAGCACCAATTGAATTTGAGCAAAATTGAGTGGTTATTGGGCAGAAAGAATATCGTTCAAGACTCCAACTCAAGATTTAAAATACACGAGTTTTCGAGAAGTAATTGTGGTTTGTGGTGAGAATTCAAACAATTAATTTAGTTTTCTCATTTATCCATTATGCCTCATGATATTTTTTACACGTGTTGAAAACGTCAAAATAACGTGTTCATTTTACTCATGGGCCTTGTTAGATAACAACAGACCCGGGTGGTATTCCACGTCACATTTCGCAAACTTGGCAATAATTGGTTAGCTGATGGTCCAAGGTCATTGGTAAATGGGATTGACTGCGATGTCACTTCGCAACCAATCAATAACTAGGATTTTGTGGTCGTGGATTGTCCCAGACGAATACTACTCCCCTGTAATCTGGCACTTTTGGCCGTATCGCCTAATCGATTCCCAATCCACCTTTATTGACTGCTGCGCAGGAATTAGCAAATTTGACCGCTTGGTTGCGTGAATGGCGTCGATGTCATGATATGCTGTGATGCTATTATCAGCATCCAATGCGGTTTGTGCTGATTCAGGACGCTTGGACCACAATTGACGGCTTTTTCGACGATGAGGTTTCTATCACCAACGATGATCAGCCTCAAAAGGATGCGATTTCACCTCGTTTGAGGAGCATCTTGTACATCCCCAGCTTCAGTTGATGCAATTTCACGGACAAACTAAACAAAATTCTACGTCGTAAATTGCTGAAATAAAGCCGAAATTTTCAAATCGGATCTCTGACCTCTCGAGATGTTAAATTGCGCGCGGTGGCACTATGCAAATCTGTGGAAAGAAATCGAAGACATTTAACATAAACTCATTCTAGCAGAACCGTCCCTGTTAATCGATTACCGCCACACCGTTGGCTATTTGGGTCAACACCTCCGTTTGAAGGCCATCCGATCACTAGATCTGATCGACTGAATTGACACTCCCTTCAACTCGTCTCACAGACCAATAGACGATCACCAGAAACCACTATACCCCTCAAAGGTAAAGTTGTCCTGCGACTCTCAGAGGTAAAACACGCCAAAAATCTCTTCTAGAAGCATCTTCCCGTTGTCCCAGCAACTGCCAGACCGAATTGTCACGCAAATTGACTTTTTGACCATTTTGCCAAATTAACTACTGGCGATTTTGTGCGTACAAGGCAAAGAAACCAGCAAACCACCGACAAAAACGCTGCAATGGCGGCTTTCGAGGAGGCAAATAAATCAAGAAAAACGTTCATTGTTAGTCCACTGCTACCGCAAAGAAGTACATTTTTTTCTCCACAAAACATGCCGAAAGACTGCGCGCCAGTGAAGTTATAACTGTACGAATTCACCGAAAAAAGACTGAAACATGGAGGAGCCAATCGGTATTACGAACGAATAGGAGCCTCAATTATTGGGGAGATTAACTCCCCTTGAAAATTACACCAACCGGAACTACATGGTAGGGATAGTCAACCAATTGAAATGAAAATTTATGGTTACTTATAAATAATTAGTAGCAAGCGCGATTCCAGAACACAAAAGACGTTTCACGGGAAAACAATCACCACACTCTATTTGGCATCACCGCATCGACACGAGTGGCACAGAGAAAGAGCATTGAAAAAAGAAACACGCCAATTAAAGGGTGCAGAGCAGGTGGTAGGGAAGACACCGCAAACATTACGCGTCCCTGGGAGTCGTGATTGTCTTCTTCACCCGTCGAGGTCCATAGAGGAGCAGGTAGGCGCTGTGCCATTCGCCGCCACCGGAGAGCTTCAAAATCTCTTCGTCAGTCGTCTCCGATACTTGTTGGTCGTCCATTTTAAACCAGCTGCCTAAATTACAATACAAACTAGGTTACCTTCATTGCAGAGCGTGTTGTCCAATAAGAGTGGCCCATAAAAACGAACCAATCACCGTGAAGCACAGCTTAACACATTAATTTTTAAATGTTATTTTACTGTAGCTCGGCTTCCCCAATAACGGAGTATGCTGCAATGACACAGGATTGTGGCGAGCGTAGACCCCGAACGGCAGGAGCCGGGGGCTGGTGAACTCACCTCGACGCTTGATCCACGCCACGTAGTGGCCCACACTCTTGCGACCTTGGTGAGAGAGAACGCCCTGCAATTCGTAGAGCCCGGTGGCGCTAGAGCCAAGGTCATCTGACAGCCAATAGGGATCGTAGAGTTCCGGATTGTCCTCTGGATTAGAAGGCTCCTCTAAGTGAGAATCAAAATTGAGCTGAGGGATTCAGAATTCGTAAACAACACCCCCCCCCCCACCGTGGATGATGAACCCACCTTCCTTTGAAGCGTCGACTTTTCGGGCTTTGACGGCCATGGCTTCGGCTTCGTCTTCCGCACGAGCCTTTTCGCGCTGAGGCAGCAGTTTGGCCTGAAGGTCTTTTGCGCAGAATTCGTAGAGGTCCAGGCTCAGTGGAAACTTAACATCCTTCAGAACCTTGAAGGATGCAGTAATAAGCACGTGAGCGGTTTGAAATAGCGTTTTCGATGCGCGAATATTCACGTCGACAAAACGAACGGATGAGGCACGCATAAATGCCAAAGAAAACCTGTGAGCCAAGACAATTCTGAAACTGAGATAAGTACTGAAATTACTACAAGCATTTCCGTCATAGGCTGGAGAGGCGTTGGATAAGTAAAGGCAAATCCCCTTCGCTTCTTTCTCAGACAAAGGATGCGTTCTTTCCTTAGTTACTTCGTGTTGGATCGTACGGCAAGATTCATAAATTAGCTGTAGTCGTAAAATAACCCGCGGCTACATGGATTAATATCCATTAGTCATGCGGCTACGAGGTGATTTTATCAACGCGAATTTGGTGAAGTGGAATGGACGTTCAAGACAAGAAGATCAACTAACGTACCTTAGCATTAATCTGATTCTTTTCCTTGTAGAAGAAACGGATAAACTGCACGCAAAGGTAACCAGGGAGTCGTGATATTTGAGAGACCTTCTTGTACACCGCCTCACGCTCCAACGACTCAGAATTCTTAGTAAGAGTTCCCTCCAGCCCGTTCCGAAGCCCGGTGTGCAGGTACTTCACATCTACAGGAGCAAACAAACGTGCTAGGTTGCGGGAGAATTAACGTGGTAAGGAATAGCTACAAATTGTGGTTTGCCTAACCCTTGTCGATGAAGCAAGAAAGTTGAGAGAAGGTGTCCACAGATTCCTGCGGCGGTTCATCACCCTCAGTACAAGTAAGAGTGGAGACCAGACGGCCAGTGAGAAAACGACTCACGAGATTCCAGCCGCCCTCGGTGCCGAAACTCTCTGGAATGTTCTAACGCGAAACAACGTCAATGGTGCATTCAAATGGTGAAAATATGGACCAGTGGGTGACAACAACGCTCATTTATTTGCATTTACCTGACTAGAAGAAAGAGTGCTGGAATCGAGAGTGACCTGCTGCAAGACGCGCACGATTTCAATCCAGCACTCGTTGGCGTCTTGCTGCTGATACCTGGAAATTCCGCCAATTGGATTGCTGTCACCCCTTTCGAGGGTCGCGAACTGAGGAAAGGCCGCGTGAAGTGCGTCGAGGAAGGCGAAGGGTACGACAGGTTCATTCGTCCTTTCTAATAACTCGAAAGTCAGGCGGAGAGTATTGACTACATTTCTCGACTCCATGTTCATTGAGCTTAACGACTCGGCAGGCAGTCTAAAATAGGCGCACTTTAAGAGTGGAAATCAACTACAGCTAAATCAAAAATATCTAACAGGACACTACATTTTCAAAAAGGCTCTGAACTCAGGAATAGTAAAGAGAAGCTGCAGCGCACTGTTCATATAGCAGGTGTTGCCCAAATTTACTATACCAACAGGGAGAGATGGTTTTTTTCGGTCTTTTCGAACCTGCGCGACGGGATCCGCAGACTCAACCGACGTAGTGGAGGGCGGCTCATCAACAGAGCCCATAAGCATCACAGTTGCTCCCTGTAACAACGTTGTTAGGCAACCAAAGAACTACATTTCTAAGCCGAATTTTATCATAGGAGGTGTCGCCAAGGAGACCGCCGGGCATCATCACTTTTTGACGATCAGGTGGAACGCCAGTTAGAGAAAATAAGAGTGCCTTGAAGTCTTGAGGCGAGGCATCTGTGTCTATCTCCAGGTCATTGAATTTCTTTGAATTCCACTTTACATTTACTATATTTTAAAGGTTAGAGCGAAATTAACATACCTTTATAGACAGGCATGATTAAGAGGGGTCAGGCTCCCCACCAATGAAACTGGAGTTGAGTTCAATTCGATTGTCCAATAAAGCCGCTTGAGGGCTCTCAATTTATGACTCTCGAAAAATATCTAGACATAAGTTACTTTATAAGGTTCATTTGAACTTCGCACATTATTTAAATAAAAGTTGACAATATGGGTTGCAAAGCACCAAATTTTTAGAGTTCAGTGGGTTTAATTGCAAGCAGTCAAAGATCCGAAAGCTTAATTCCCAGAAAATTGTATTCAGGTTGCATGCATTCTTAAATTTCACTATGAACACCAAAGAACGGAACAAAACAACCAGTTTGTAACAAACGCAACAATTTTTTTATTGGGCACCTGGGACAGAAGAGAACCCAAAATTAATAGTGATGCCATCATACTTGGCGATGTACAAATAGAAATTCTGCATTAGCAAGCTAGAAAAAATTTGACTTTATTAAATTGTACGTGGTGTCTATTAACTGAAGTCTATTAGGCGGTTGACCAAAAGCTCTTATGACAAGGTTTTTATTCACTAAATCTTCAACAAACATTTTTTTACAGGCAGTCAGCACGATCTTAACAAATATTTTCCAACCTAATTTGAACTTTGTTAATGTTCAAGACAAGGAGGATTTGCTTGTTTTCCATTCGCGAATGTTGATTTTATAAAACCACAAGCGTCAAATGTCAAGGAATAACTTTGGACCAATGTCCGAATAATATTCCATCTCTCAATACAACTAAATGTGTGTGGATCAATTACAAAATTGTGACTTTTGGCATAGCAATACGCTTTGTCTAATGCGACCCTAACATATCCATAAGGGCTTTATTTCCGACTTCATGCTAAACAATCAAAGATTTACTACAAAAAGTTTATTATAATAGTAGCTATTACTAAATTTACATTTCGACAATGCAATAATGCTAAAAATTGATGCTTGGCTGTAGCACGTTTTAACAAAACGGAACAAAATCATTGCCATTATCTATCGGTTTCCCTTAAATCCTGTCAACAAACAGAACCTAATCGACATATGTTTTTACTAGACATGACAAATGGTTTAAAACTAAAAACGCAGCCAACGTATGAACCCTATATAACGAACTAAAAGTTTAATATCAATAGCACATGCCTTTCTTGTGGCATCAATCATTACCCGCATATACCTATATTTAGAACTTTTTCATTTTTGATTTGTAATCATAGCATAAAATCTAGATGAAGTGAATGAGAAAATTACTTCTTTTTTATTCTTTCATGGTTTGACAACATAAAGCTGATAAAATAATTCAAACTCCAGGGAAATGAAATTTGAAACAAATTAACAGTCTCTACGGTCATCAGACCCCCAGTTCAATAAAGTTAGGTGTCTTCTACTTTATATCAATACAAACTTAACGTAATTGAGACAGAGCAAATACCATTTTACTGCCGTTTGTTAAAAAAATGGAGTTTGCATAAGTAAAGTTTCAGATCGTGTTAAAAATTGGCTAGGTATCAGGGTTTATTTTAATTTTTTTAAATAATTTTTTTTTAAAATCTTGCAAGATGATATGTCAACCTCAAATTAATGGGATGCTGGAGTTTGATTAAGGATAAAATAAATGCACAAAAGTGAGTAGGTGAACAATCTTGAATTAGGCTATTGGTAAAGTTTTTGCTTCCTTTCATAGCGCAAAATAACTTTTGCAATTCACGTTTATGCGAGTTAACCAATCACACAGATTTTGGTTTCGCATTTACGGGACAACGGAATACACAATTCGTGAAATGATTAGGAAGCGCAATTTATAAGGCTGTTTGAAAAGTTTGCATTAATACGAGAATATCAACTACCCTCGTTTTTTATCTTCTCACCTACATTCTTCGTTCTATTCCTTTGCGGGTTTTACAAAAGTAGAAATTTTTAATTGAGCTAACTGTGAAGACTGTTAACTTTTGTTAACGCTTTTTTACCTTGATTTACTGATATAGACGTTCTAAATTAACCATTAATATTCCATAACATATTGTTGTTCAAACATTCAAAATAACAGCGCGATGGTTAAATTCCCTGCAGGAAGCTAGGTTAAATCTTCCTTTTAGTATTTCGGTTGTGTTGTTTTAAAACGATTTTCCAGGTAAGTTTGGGGCATACTATAAATATTATTCAACAAAATAATGTAGTGTGTTTGTCTACTTTTGTAGTTGATTTTTTTCTGGTTTCCCATCTCAGAATTTTGTATAATGACAATTCTTGCTGCCGAGTATGGCTTCAAGAACTTTATTTTCAATTTTTAATACATAGAATGGTTAAAGCTTACGTTTTTAGTCATAATCTTAATAGGAATGAATAGTTATTAGTGCTTGTCTATGTGGAGTTCTTGCTGTTATTGTAATTTTTGGGAGCCTAATTATATAATGACAACAAATGTAAACCTTGGAACTACTTTGTTATTATTCACTAATTTTTTTGCACTGCTTTAACATTTCATTGGAACAACCCATTTATCACAAATAAAAATGTGATTTTACTGTCTAACCAATCCTTGTTCTGTGAATTACCGACTTTGTACGTGTGTGTTCCTGGAAATGCAACTTCTTAATTTGGTTAAGCTTAGTTAAATACAATTTATAGATCTGTTAATACGATGTTCCTAAAGTAATAGCTTAATATCCACCAGCCGAAACATTGTAAATCTATTTTTTTCGAAATGATTTGTAAGATTAGCTAAACATTTATGCATCTCTTTACTGTGAGAAGGATAAACATTTACTTAGATGCCGAATTATGGATAGTCTGCACGTAATTTAAACCCTTTGGCCTGGCATTGTTGCTCTCGAATTAATCTTAAAAGAGTAAAATCATATTACGCCATACTTTCCTACGTTTTGTGGATACGGTATCTACGAGTATTATTTTGCGAAAGTATTCACTTTTTACCTTGTTTTTTCATCATTGATATGATTATAGGGATTGTTTCGTTTAATAGCGTCGCTTGTTCTGACAGTTTGTTTTTGCATTAAAATTGCCTTCGGGACGTTTAATTCAAATCTTGGATTTTTTCCACAGTTAGTGCCTAATATATGGTGCGTAAAATTTTTCCCACGGAATAATACACTAATTTAAGTACTGCATGCATTATGTGTGAGGAACACAAACAACACTACTCCAATGGTCTAAGTGCGAACACTCCAGCCAAGTAGCCAATGGTCTGACAGTGACGTAACATGCGAAGTTAGCGCACCTTTGTTCCTAGCGTCGGTGATTGGCAGTTATTGTGTGTTGATCTCCTATGTTCTGCAATAGCACGACTAAGAGCGTTACCAAGACCATTTTTGCTGAATCATATGGTGTACAACAGCCCTAATATTTTTGCCATTTCGAGTGCACCTCATCGATTTTCACATAAAACCAATTTGTCCCTAATTCATTTTTGGATGTCGTATCCTCCACGTTACAAATATGGACAATCATTTATTTATCGAAGCATTTCTTGCCGAAGCATCGCTATCACAGGAGCAAAATCGGTGTGCAACTGTTATTAGAGAATATTTTTCCAGATCATCTTTTAACCATAATGAGTAATTGATCTTACAACACCTTGTAACATTGATTATTGCATCAAACTGAACCACAATAATGTGTTTTAATAAATTGACTGGACAGAGATATTCTCATTTTTGTTTAAACAAGTTTGGTAAAATTAAATTTGCGCCATCATGCAAGAAGGCTCTTTTTTAACAACATCTTCCAATCTGATTGGCTTTAGGAGCACCAACCACTGCTCGCCTTTCTGTTTCCTGAGTTAAGGTTGTCATGTCAAAATATTTTTTTCCCAAAAACACAGCAAACTCAAATTTTGTTACTTCCGGTTTTGAAATGGCTAGTTAAGCGTTTTCGGCACTCGAGCGACTGTAATTAACCGTTTTCCCCATTTTTTACCTATTACTAACCGCAATGACTTTGGTAAGAATCTTTACAAACTAGTTGCTTTATCTGATCATTCAGTTAACGGGAAGTTTTCCTGTCGTGGACCATTTTGTTTACATCAAATATATTGTAGCTTTCCAGCACAATACATCCCACGCTTTGCTGGGTTGTGTTCCAGATTTTCAAATTTTTACTCACATGTTATCGTGCCTACCGTGACATCATAACGAAGACAATTTCCCTGTCATTTCTTGTCGTAGTTACCACAATCATGGTGCCGCGTCGTATGTTGCATTAGCAATTCTGTTTTCACCACTGGCACCAATAAGAGCACAAATACTTGATTTTCGCAAATGGCCCTCCACCAATCACCTCACCCACTTCTAATTGGGCTACAAAGGTGGCCTGGAGATCCAAACGTTTCAGTCAAGCATACAGCCAAACCAGGCAATCAATTATAGGAATTAAACTTGCATATCACTAATGCCGATAGCTCAAAATGTGCACAAACCGTGGCGATATAATGATAACAAAGTTGGAGCTTCACTGACATGATATTGGACTTTAACCAATCAGACTAGTCTACATATTGTGTGGACTGTTGATAGGCTACAATTTTAACTTTGTCGTTCTCCACTAACATGGTCACTTTAATAGCGCAATTCTTGTCAAATTTATCCCATCTCGGTATATTCTGGTATTTGTCAAAGCACAAGCTGTATTTCTGTGCAGTTCCAACGAACATTTCTGGGGCATTGTCGGTTCTCATTGGTTAGAATGCAGCATTTATGGCTGTGGGTTGTTGGTTTTCAATTTTGTCAAAGTCACTGAGCCGTCAGTAATTACTGCGTCATCAAAAATTGATCATTGTGGTAGAGATAAGGTAATTACTAGACCGTTCTACCAAAACATTCCCCTCAGTGTAAGCGTGTGTGTGTTCAGCAAATATAAGCCTCTCCTACTGCCTCAATTAATGGTTCACAGAGCTAACGGGCTTGTTAAGTGCCGCGTGTTGGGTTTTCACCCCATTTCTTCTCACAAAAAGAACCACCGTGTCAACGGGCCAATTTGCGTACCTTCTTTCTGTCGTCAATTTGTTTTGAGTCGGTTTGAAGGAATATTGTGAACGTTTTGGTGTTTACCGAGTTTTAGACGCTGCAAATAGCACTTTTAGTCTGACCTTCAATTTCCACCTGAACAGTTTTCATTGTTGGTCCTTAGTTAGCTTGGCAGAACACAATTCAAACTCTCCCAATCCACGTTGGCTGCTTCATTTAAGCAACACAAAATTTGCGCTTCATTTAAATCTCCATCTACTTGCCTTGAGGCATTCTTTACAGCATACATTTGTGACCCGCTTTATGTACGGCAGTTGATTAGTCATTCAATGCCCTTTCATCAATTTTGTGAACGCCCTAATAATTTAGAACCTATTCATGCCTATACCTCTCCCGTCGCGGTAAGTTGGCCGTGTCATTGCCTTCTCAAAGACGAACATCAAAACTAAATGGACATTTTTCCGCATTTTGGTTGAGATTAGAATGGAAAAATTTCAAAACCCTACCGGTTTACGAAGAAATTAACTCGATAGACTAAATGTCTAGGCATGTGGTTTATTTACGTTCATGGTTACAGCACTGATTTAAACAAATGACCCGCAAACACGAATGTATCCATGTGTGACGAGGTTGCTGTGTTTAACCAAATTATACTCCAGCACCCCATGATTGCTGTTTAGTTTCATCATTAATATCTCAAGTGGATAGGCATGAAATATTTACGCAAAAAAAGTTTTAAACCAGATGAAATGTATAGCATATTTGCCACTTCGGGCGTCGACCTCTTCTATTGGTCGCTTCAAGGTCACACGGAACACCGAAATTGTGCTTATTTGACCTTATAAACTAACGAGCGGGTAAATGAGTGGGTTCCTTCGTTGCATACTGCATCTTGTCCTCGAAAATGGTGGCTCGACCGAAACAAACACGAAAACTAAAAAATACTAGCGTGTTACTATTGAGGATCTGAATGAAGCTTCGATCGCAAAGATTGGAAAGAGCAATCGCCAAGAAATTACTGATTTTGATTTTTTTCGGAAGGAAATCTGACTGTAATATGTGCATAGATTAGAACGGGTTGCCTTGATGAACATGTGACCCTGAATTGAACCCTCGGAGATGACCACAAAGGTTGAGTGAAGCTACATGATTTAGTGGCTGTTTGCCTGACGTTGTAGGGGAACACGGATTGTCCACTTTCATGCCGAATCTCTTTGAATCAGCCGAACGCCTGTACAAGCGTTTCTCGGGAGGCCAGCACAAATCCAACGCACCCAACACCCCCTCAAAGTACACTCGAAAGGCCGACGCTCGTTCCAACGATGGCGCGACCGTGTCACCTGCGGTGTCCAGCGGTTCGCCTCTGCAGTGGGTAGCTCAGAAGAACTACTCTGCCCGAGCCAATAGCTCGTCCAACCTCGCGATTTCGACGGGAACGGAGATGAGAGAGGGCGACCGAGCGCCAATCGCTTCGCCCAGAGCACCACTCCCCCCTGGCGACCTTACCGCAGTCTCCAGCGAGAGTGACAGCGACTATGAGCCAGCCTTTGAAGGGCTTCCCTCCACGGCGGTCGATGGAGCGCCAGTGGGGAGCCGTGCAAACCATCGTCTTCGTCAGAGCCTTCAACGCGCTAAAGCGGCGGCTTTCGAGACACAAATGAGTGTGTCGGGCGACAGCCAAAACCGCTATCCAAGCGCGGAACGCCTCTACACCCAAGTGGCCGAGTCTTTTGACGATGAGGACGGTGAAGACGAGGAAGAAGAGAGTGATAAGGAGAGTGATGAGAAGGCCGTTGAGAGGACGGGGCAGGAGGAGGAGGCGGTGGTGGGGCTAGAGCAAAACGCGGAAACAGACTCCGCGAGCAGTGTTGCTCGCGCCTACAAAGCCTCTCTCAGTCTCCACCCTAGAGCTGGCGTCCGATGGCCGTCAGATCCGCCTCAACCACTGGTAGATATTTTGCCAAAAATACGCCGCTGCCTTGGTCCACCAAACACGGAATTCGTGAGAGCAATCTGCCAGCGTCCCTCGTGCCGCTGTCTGCTTCGGGGACACGATACGCTCATGCTCTTCCCGGTATTCGACGCAGTGCTGTGTGAGGCGACTTGGGAGAAGATCAAGGACAGCCAGTTTTCGTCGCGATCGGGATCGCACTTCCTCTCACGCCTCCAACACGGCCACGCCACAGGTCCCACTTCCGAAACCCAGGCCAATCTCATTCTGTTTCGCCAGTGTCGTGGTTGGTATGAGGTCATGAACGAGAATTACGAGCCCGTCCCACACTGGACGACCATCGAGGAGGTTCGGTGTGCAAAGCCTGCGACATTTCTTGTCCGTCGCGACCTCAAGTGCCTGCTTGCGCCAACGGAGTTGTGGGTGCCGCCGCAGCTGCTATCGAGCACTGATAGAAGCAACAGTGGTGCTCCACCAATCCCCATTCCATCCTCAATTGTCGTCGAAGCCGCCAACCCCAAAACCATCGCCTCTAGTAGCGTGTTCGTCCTTAAACCGGGAACTCTCCTCTCCTACGTGGATTACATCCACGATTGCACCGTCAGCCGAGGCAAGAAGTTCAAGCTGATGTCGTTTGTTCTGGCAGTGGAGAAGTGCCGTAGTCAGCGTCAAGGCGACACCCCGAACAGTCCACGACGCCTCTTCTACATCGGCACTGAGGAGGCCTCAAGCCAGGCCGTTTTCCCCGCCAAGGTGGCCCTCAGTCCGATCGCGGGTCCGGAGAACATCTCAGGCGTGCACACGCTGTCGTCGCTGCTTCGCAAATTTCGCCTCCCCCTCTCGATAGTTCCGGTGGCCGTGCCAGAGAGGAAGATGCAGGCGAGTGCCAGCAGCTTGAGCAGTTTGAGCAATGAGTCAGGATCCACGAACTACGCCACCGCGCAGTCCACCAAACCCGTGAACATCTTCCCCACGGTCCCTGGCATCACCTTCACCGATCGGACCTACATTCGTCTGCGTGGCCTCTTGCGAGGCGATGTGATAATTGTGGCGCCGGTCGACTCACCAGACCGCTTCTTCCTCATCACGCCAACCCTGCTTCAAGACCATCTGTTTCAGGTGGGCTTCACGGAGGACGCGATCTACCAGCGTCTTGCAGCTGGCCACCGCAATCGCACGCTCAACTTCCTATCCATGGCGCATCCTCGTGATTCCCTGGACTACCTCCTGGCTTTCCTCAAGAACATCACGAACAAACCGCGTCTCATGACCAACACCGCCAACGGACAGGACGTGGCGCGGTCTCTGATGGGTCGGCTGACGGCGGGCTTGATGCAGAACTACGAGATCACCTCGGCGATGGCAAAGGCCATCTACACGGAGACGGGTAAGGATCCACGCACCGGGCCTGAGAGCGACATGACGCCGGAACAGGTGGACCAGGCGTACGACGAGATGGACGACCTGTACTTCTTCACCCGCAACGGCTACTACCCCGCGAAGACGCGCCAACGCCGCTCCAAGTCGACCGCGGGCGCCGCGCCTGCAGGAATGGTGAACAGCAACGGCAACCAGGTCTGTCTTGGGGCTGACGGCGGCGTGCCTGTCGTGCCTCGGCATCCGATACCCAGCGCTGAACAGCTGCTCGCTGCCACGCTTAACATCTCCACGTACAAATAATCCCTACGTCCTCTGCCCCCACAACTTGTTCTGTACATTCCTTACTCGCCAATGTGATACTTTTGTTTCGCTTTAAAGACCGCGTCTATCATTTTATAATTAATGGTGGTTTTGTAACAATCAGCTGCACATTTTGGGATGTCTGAAGGCTTGAGGGCGTGAGGCTGGCGCTACTGCCGTAGAAACCAAAATTCAGGAAGTAGAACTACTCACGAAACATTGTGTCAAGAAATCGAGCAATTAAAGTGCTACCTAAAATTTGTTAGTAATAACTTTGCGCTCAGCCGACCTTACTATTTCTTGTTAACAGAACGATTTAATTTAGCAAAACCCTTTGTCATTACTCAGGTAGAATAATAGCTTTATATCTCGATTTTATTTTAATAGTGCCTGGGCTTAACAATAAGCAAATAATTTCGCAAAATTCAAAGTCAGCAAGTTTGTGCGAACTCCCAATAAAAGCTTGACCTTCAGGCTGCTATTACGAAGAGCAATTTGATTGGTCACTGAAGCTACTCGGCACCGAATTGGATAATGTAATGTGTACAAATCAAACACGAGTCGATACAAAGGGTCACTTTGCGAAACCCTTATTAGTCTCGGATTCCAGAAAGGCGTGGAGGTCTTCGAAAGATGGTCGCTTGTCCGGCTCAGAGTTCCAACATTCCAGCATTTTGTTATAAATGCTGTCTTCGCACTCGTAATTCAAGGTTCTCGGATTGCACAAGCGTCGACCATTTTCAATTTCTTCTATCAGAATGTCATCGTCAAGATCTATGCAGTTGTGAACATTGAAATATAAAACATCAATTTAATTAAATTACAATCACAATTAAATGTACTTGATGAATTTGCCCAGAACCACATTTAGATAAGAACTTTATTGGTATGCAAAACACTCTACGAATAACTTGTCAGTAGCACTAATATTGTTCCTGGTGGTTTTTTTTTCAGCTTTCCTATTGGTCAGCTGGTCCTCCAACACAATTGGCTTATTCTCATGTCTTACAACCCAAACTTTATGGTATCTAGCACACCAGTTAGTCATCCTGGACTGCCAGTATTACTAAAAAACTCAATACAAAATAAGCACGTAATCGAGATGCACATTTAAAAAACCACATATCGCTCACCTGCGTAAGGCAATTCGCCGTAGGTGAGGGCCTCGTACATGAGGACCCCGAAAGACCAGATGTCCGCTTTAATACAAAACTGGTACTTTGATTTGGTGACCTCGGGCGCCGCCCAACGCAGCGGATATGTTCCATCTACAAAGTCGTAATTGGGTTTCTTGAGAACTACTCACCCCTCTCACTTCAAGGTCAACTGATTTCATTGGTGGGAAATCAGTGTAAAACTCATAATTTGGGTGATGTTTTCAACAAGTCAGTGATAGCAGAAGTGGGGCAAACGAAGCCTCAGTACTCACACCGAATGTCACGATCGTCGGAGTGAAGGATTTTTGCAAGTCCGAAATCAGCCACCTTGACCGAATTATCCTTAGCCACAAGGACGTTTGCCGATCGCAAGTCGTTGTGTACCGCGCGATTCCTTTCCAAGTACGCCATTCCCTCGCTGACCTTTTGAAGTAGACAAGCAAAACCGACGTGATTGGAGGCAACTTCAAGATACCCTGTTCAGGATCGCCTAGCCTAGATCAACGAGAACTTGCTTCATGTTTGTGGTCAAACCGCTGACTCACACATTACCAGAAAATCGATTTTCTGTTAGTATACAAGATGGAGCGTTTAAACAACTAAAACGGAGATGACACTTCTCCTAAAGATTCTGCACTGACGGTGGTTCTGCAACACATCCTACCTGCGAGAGCATGGTGATAATCGTTGTGTAGGGTGGGTGATGTCGTCGCAGATAACCTTCAAGTGCCCCATTCGGCATGAACTCTGTTATGAGCAGAATCGGCTCTGAGGGGGGTTCACAGCACACCCCAAGAAATCGAACCAGTCGTGGGTGGTAGAGGCTGTACATGGTCGCGGCCTCCTCCACAATCTCCCGGCGCGCTGTCGACGTTAGCGCCTTCTTCACAGCGACGTCCACGCCACGGTAGGTCGCCAACCAGACCTCGCCGAAGCTACCTCGTCCAAGCTGACTTTTCAAGGTCACGCTGTTTCGGCTCACGACACACCCACGGAACTTCTCCGCGTTGCCGCTAATCTTGGGGCACGGTCGACGTAGTGGCACCACATTGGAGCAATTCTTTTCATCTCAAATTGGAAACAAAACATCGATATAACTACATCAGAACTGCTCGGCAATGCAAGCCTTGAACCCTCAACCGACTCACCAGAGTAGAATTTGAGTAGTTCATCAAGGCACTTAAAATTTTCGTCTTCTTGCAAATAGTACTGCTCACCAACCTTGTCGTACATTACGTGATAGTGTTTGACGTCACACTGCCCCTCTTGCTTCACCAACACAGACAACGAGAGGTGTCCGTAACCTGAAACGAGACTGGTTTTAAGCCACATGATTTGGAGGCCTGCTGTTTAGCCCTAGACGCTAGATGTGTACTGCCTTGAGTAATATCTCAGAAACTTTCGACAATACCAAAACCCGACTATGGAATTGAAAAACTTGTCAGATAACGTATGTAGAGAATGCAAACGTGCCACTGCTTGGCCGAAGGATGTAGGTGCCCGTTTCAAAAACTGGCAGAAGGAGTCGATGCTCAGCCTCGTCACGGGATATGAACTGGAAGGCGTCGAAAGCCTCCGACTCGCCAGGCTGGTCCGTTAGATAGGTGTCCGGCACGACCCCTGTCCCTCCGGTGCGCCAATCGCGTGCTTGCAACCACCGATCGGGAGAAACGTCGTTGTCGCCCTGCGCCGTATTCACCGTCACGTATATAATGTCACCACGACGGAAGGGCAACTCACGAGGGTCGCTGGTGTCAAAGTCAAAGCAGCCGAGCATTGGTCGCTCTTGAATGAGGCTAGTGGAATGCGGTTCCTCCGTCGTCTCAGGTTCCAAGTACACAAACCCGTTGGATTTCGACCTGTGAAATAGGTCTTTTACCCCTCTGAGCAGCTTTCTCTTGAAATCTGGCATTTTGTTTTGCAGATCTACAAAGATAGCATCGTTTTCCACTCTGATGGCAGCAGCAGAACTCCCTATTATGTTAAGTTAGAAGGAAGACATGGTGTGGCACATGCTACGCGCACACAGTTGAATTATTTTCTCGTGATTGACAAGCATTTATCATGCATTTATTCGTGTGTTTTCGGGACAGTGATTGAAGGAACAATCACGTTGCTACTGGAGAAAAAAGTCAGAAAATGGCTGCTATTGTGTAACCAATGGGGTTTGTTAAGCTCAACATTGTGCTGAATAAGTGACCAAATTATGTGAGTCTGCTTGGGGGTGTAGTAATGATTGTTTTATTGACTCTGGTACTTTAGACTGGAGTACGATGCCATAACTAATCGAGACACCAAATTGGAGTCAGCAGAACCCACTTGAAGGTGAAGAGATCATTCTGCCGACGTGACCTTGACAAGTATGTGCACTCGCGGCAAGAAATGAAGTGCTAACTAGCTGGGCTGTGAGACACACAAAACTCGACGGATGCGCATATCCTTACGTCCTGTGCATTCCTATTCAATAAATTTTAGAATTTTTGAGCATATTTTCGTTTTTCATGAGTTACAGATTTACTGTTCTCACGCAAAACTCTGCTTGTCTTCTGCAAACATTTCAAAAAATACTAGAAATGATGCAAATAGACTGTCTGACGGGTATTTTGCAGATGATATCTACTAATTTAAGATCTAATCACGCTTTTTTCTATTGAGTCTCTTCTCTCTTGCTAAATTACCGCCACATTCTCGTTCAAAATATGCACATTACACAAACACATGGATCTAAGCAAGTCCACAACAGCACATTAGTGTAAATTTTCAAAACAAACAGAAATGTATTTAATTAAGAACCAAATAAAATTTGCATTTTTTTCAATTATTACGCTGAAGAATTAACAATCTATCATTTGTCATGACAGTCAACGTGTAAGCTCGAATATTTGTTCCAAATATTTTGCATCCAGGGAAACTACGGCTTGGAACAACTTCAGGCATCTATTGAAACAATAAAAATGAAGATAAACAATAGTATATGCAGTAATTGCAAAATTAAACGTAGTGATACAGTTTTGGACCCAGAATTTATTGCTTTGTTAAGGAATGGCAAACCGAGAATTCGGTTAATGTATGTTTCCGTTTACGCAAAAGTAAGGTAAATAAGGGTCATTTATTCAAACGCAGAAGATTGCGAACAGCAAAAAATTTGATATGTGTTTTTGTTGGTAATTTTGTAATAAAACGCCCCACCCGAAACCGTACAGTCCCACAAAGTAAAACTTACATGTTATTTAATAATCTAATTTCGGAGCTGATGTGGCAAAGAACCACGAATCTCGTTATATACCCATTCAATAGTTATCTTAAAAGGGTACGCATGCACTCTTCTTGAGGCAGCGTATTGGGTGAGAGAAGACACATTTGTCGATACTAACCATTGAGGCATGGTGTTTGCGAATGCTTAATTTAATCTCACTGAACAAAACCGAATAGTTTGGTAGTGGGTTTACACACAATAAAAGCTGTTTGGAATGTTTCATCTGTGACTGGCTGCTTGTTCTATGATTATTCATTGTAACTATAAGTAAATGATGCTGAAAATTTCGAAATACAGAATTTGATGATCCATGAACGCGTCAACTGGGAATAACCTGTGTACAATTTCAGTGGTAACATTACCAGAGGTTGAATGTACTTTTGTAAATTATAAAGCGACGATTTCTAATTGCAAAGACTCACATATAATGAAAGAGAAAGAGATATTTTTATTCAATAAAGAAGTGTGCCTCAGAAAACCCAATCAAGAACTTTATTTAAACCGAAGCATTGCAGCCATTTAACGTTTAAAGAAATATCATAAATTCCATCAAATTCCCATTTGATTTTACCAATTGCAGCACACCATAATTTCAATGCATAAACGGCGGTTGCCAAACGCTTGACTAAGGTCCTAATATCTTTTAACGAAAATAGACCTCAATCCCACCATAAACACATTTCAATACAAAAAGGTACGATATTTTCTAGACGAAGGAAAAAGCTATTTCCCTTCACCGAAACACAAAAATAGGCTAAGGGAAATATAACGGTCGTCGTGTTTTAAAATTGATTAAAACAATTAACAAAATTTAAAAAAAAACAACATACCTTATACAGATCCGTTTTTTAAAAGCTGGATTCAGACAACCAGACAACCAAACTTTCGGAATAAATTTAAGCCACTGAAGAGTTTTCAAGGTTGACATTTTACATAGTCAAACAAATATATGAAATACATTTATCAGAAAATATACCTCCTAAATTTAAACAAAAACACAATAGCCGCTTCATCAAGTTTATTATTTTTTAACTCACTGCAACGAATTACACCTTATACCCTCTAAGGAATAATTCATCATTGAACACAATTTGACGTTTATGAACTTTCTTAACATTTCTTATATTTTGTCTAGTTTTATGCAATCAAGCTGTTGTTTAAATAAAAATTGCACCTGGATTGTAGGCAAGAAAATTAGAGGGGGAATTACAAAATATTCTACCCAGTATATTCATTGCAATTCATCGAAAGATAAGCACATTAAATTGTGAGCCTATTTTAAGTCCCATAAACTGTTACAACTTTGCATTAGTTCATGTAACCAATAAATAGGGATAGGTTGCAAGAAATTTATAAATATACCGGACAATCAATGATACCAATAAATACTCCAATGCTCGCAGAATCAACAAAATATTACCTATCTGTTGTCAATATCTTCACGAAAATATGCGCAATCGCCTTAAAGGCACCTGGTACCATGTAGTGTTTGCAGAAGCAATATTTAAAGAAGCTTTTTTTTTGTTTCCCAATTCTGTTTCCCTGTTTAAGAGCAACTATGACACAATAAATACATTCAAATATGACTGTATTATTCTAAGCATGACACTTTCGCAAAAACATTCACGAATACTAATTAGTTGAATTTTTGTTCACGTTACTACAGAGTCACATTGGAAGCCTAATGAATCCTTTTATCTGACAAGGCAACGTTGCGTACATTTACTGTTGGCAATGTTCAACAAATTTGGGAAATTATGTAAGGTAAATATCAACGATACGAGTCTGTTTAACAAATCAAAATCACTGATAAATTTTGACATCTACTTCGATCTCAACGCTTTTTGTTATGTCGACACTTTTTAAATGCTGAAGCTCTTAAAAATAGCCGATATTTGCTGCATTGTGTCCCTGGAATCGGCAGCTACAATGCTAACAGATGCTCGCGATATATTAAAAAATAACATTTGGTCAAAATTTGCTATCAACCTTCTTTAAGAATATTTCCTGCTTCACAGATGCATCCATTCAGGTTAATGTCACTAAAAAAGTCATGGAGTTTAAACTTACTTCCCCCTTGGCAACCAAAATATTATTACTCTAAGTATTCTACATCCAATAAGCTCGAGTCTTTTTTAGTCTTGCTGTAGATATTTACGGTTTTTGAAAATTTACTTATTCTTCCTTATCTGTGTGAATTTCAAAGAGTTTTTTGGTCCTCTAGAGCCTTCGTCGTCTATCTCCGTGCTTGAGTATGCCCCAACATAAATCAGCATTTTGAAATTGATCTCTTGAATATGGTTTTTTAACATTATAGACACATAAAATGGGCTACTATGTTAACCAAAAAGTTGATCTGGTCGATATCTCCAATGTCGAATCGTTTCGACGGAACAAAAAAATTTTAATTTATGACAACAGGTTCACTTTCGAAAAATTATCCAAGTCAGCAAGTCCAATTTGTGCAACTGAACAAGGTCATCCCACGCAGTTTGTGACCAACTCAAATAAATGTTCACTTTAAGGTGCTTCAACAGTAGTCATGCATCCAACAACACCAGAGACATTTGATGTGATGTTATTAACTACTAGCTGGTACCTGCACATGGAAATAAAACTGGTAAAATTTTAAATATTAAAAGGGATTTTTTGTCTATTCTATAATAAGATCTGTTACCAAATGCCTTGAATCCTGTGGTGCTTGAATTAACCGCATTTTGAATTTTTTTTATTAACTTCCTTTTTTCACCATAGCGAGAAATCGTGGCACATTTGGGGTGGCACAGTGAAGCTTCGGGCACTATTTGTACCAAATCAAATTAAATATTTTTAGGAAATGACGTGGTCTAGATGAGGGACTATTAATAACTTCTGAATGACAGTCAGGAAAGTATTTTTAGTGTGTAATTGAAAATTCACACTAGAACTCGTTTCTAAGAATAAGTTAACCTGAAGTGCTGTAGTTTTATTGTTTAGACAAAAGAAATTTAATGCACACGATAGATGTGCATGATTAAACTGCGTCCATTGCGGATTACGCTCTTCGTCTGTGTGATTTAAAATGAATTCCAAACACTTTTGGTTTAACAAAAAACTAACTTTCTCCGAAATGGCTTGAATTTAAAATTTCAGCATTGATAATATTAAAAAATCTCTTTTTCAGTTCAAACGAGGCGATTGAAGTTACTTTGTGACTAACCACTTGGGTTATGTACAGAAGAAGATTTGTTTGAAATCAGCATTTTAAATACCTACAATACTGCAGTTCTTAAAAAAAAATATTCTGTGGCTCATTCATATTTTTAATTTTGTAAATCTGTACCTCAGGCGACAGGCGATTTTACGAATAGCTGATCTAAATGCAAATGCGACCACCATCGATTCTAAAATTGATTTATCCACTTGTCTTTCAATATGAACTGGCATTTCAACTTAACCCCTGTGATCTGCAGTTGATCTCTTGAAAACTTTTACTTTGAAAACATCTGCTGCAGATGTTTTCAACGCCTAGCTTAGGAGTAGTCAAGCAATGACGCAACAGATACTGCGATATCGTGAGAATTTCCGCTGTTGATTTTGCAAGTGCGTGGATAACTTTGTAGTGATTTGAAAACTAAAAAACGTTGCGAATCAATGAACCTTACCCTCTGTGCCAAATTTAATTATGCCCGCGAAATATTTCCAAGAGTCGTCAAGGACCCAATCATTAGTCAAGCACCACTTAATCATTCTATTTGTATCGTTGGAAGCACGACAGGACTCATGCATCACGCCGATTATCAAACGGTGTCTTCACATATTCGTCCTTAATAGAGACCTGAAGCAACCAACTCTTTCTGTAATATTTAACCCACAGAAACCATCTTATTGTGGAATAAAATGCGACCTTAAACTGTCCAGACTTGGCCATCAAACGATACATCTTACAACGCTCCTTTGGACGAATGTGGATAGAAAAAAAATTAGGTTTGGCTCAAAAGTTACCGCCTAAAATCACATATAAATAATGAGCAAATCATGTACAAAATTCTACTAGTATTAGTCATCTGTGTGTGGGTTTGTTTGCGATGCTTACGCTGACGTGATATTTTCGTATTTGCCATTATCCATCGTCAATGAGTTGATAATTGAGCGGAAAGATGGTCGCTCCTGTGGGTTGTAACGCCAACAGCTAACCAATAAATCGTAAAAGAAGTCACTGCATTGGTGTCCAAGTTCTGCAGGGTTCGGCGGTACCATTTGATTGGCCAGATAACTTGGAAGTGCCTTCAACGGGATTCCTTGCGGAAAAAATGTCGATATTTAGCAAACCTCGAGACTAAACTTCAGTCCATAATCACAGCTTAAAAAATAATTTGCAGGTTTGAAAATTCGAGTAGCCTCCCCTGACGTGTCTTTTAAAAAAGGCGCCATACCAAGCAGCCAATTCAATGTACTCACCGTCCATCTGCTTCCAGCTGAATTACTTAGGGGGATATCTTAAATCTGTTCACCGGGTAAACCAAAAATGTAGGAACTAACCTGGATATGGGTGGCCACCTCGCGTCAGAATGACGAAGCATAGTATGCCGAAGGACCAGACGTCGGCTTTGAGTGAGAAGGCAGTTGGTTGGTGGGACAGCTCTGGGGCACTCCATTCGTCGAAAGGGAACCATTCTAAAACGCGGGATTGCATTACCAGGCGTGGCAGAGTTACACTGACCCACCTACTCCAGTACTGACGGAAGCACTGGCATCTGTGTTCGTGTGAAGAATTACATGCTAGACTCTGGGAAATTTTATGTCCTGGCTCACTTCTACCAACAGACTACGGAATACAGGTACTACTTTCCTTGAAAGAAGCGAGTACAGTCGCAATATGGGTGCGACGATGAGGGCAATTTTAGACAAGAGCGTTCCATACATTGCACCAGCTACTTCGATGCACACAATCATGAAGCGCTGACTTGTCGTCATTGCCAAACTCCCAGGCTGAAGTCAATTTTAAGACGCTGCAAATTGGCGTAATTTGGGGCTGTTGTAGAGTGTGAATTAATTGTACTTTTAACTGTGCACATAGGCGATCCATCAACTATGAGAGACTAGTTGCTGATACCTGACTTCACGCCAGGCGCAAGGTGGGAATGTTTTGAGTGGGAATCACATCAAAATTTATCCATTTCCCCTCAAAACACTGTCAGGGGTTTCTGGGTAGGCACCTTTGTATTTAAATCACAAGTAGATTGATCAATCTGCCATGTACCTTGATTGAATCCACTAGCTAGAGTAAGCATATGTCGAAATCCGACGTCAGTAATCTTTACAATGCCATTGAAATCCAGTAGAACGTTCGACGTTTTCAGGTCGGTGTGTGCGATTTGGTATCCTTCTAGGTATGCCATACCCGCAGCAACCTAAACATCAAGGAGTAACAAGAACACAAAATAAGCTACCAGTTGTTTAACTTAGCAACTGTTTTGAAAAAAGTTTTGACAGTGTTGTAAATAGTTTTAACACAATTAGGGGATATTCCTCGATGACTGATTGCTTTCTGAACGAAGTCTTTTGCTTACAAATAGCGCAATAGAATAACTCAGTGCAGGCAATCACGGAAATTGGGTGTTCACTTTTGGCCAATTAAATGAGAGTACATTTGGCGTCGGGAGCCAAAATTCAAGTGGACTACAGAATCTCGCAAAGAGCTTCTAAGTGCTGCGAAAATGCCTGATCATGTGATTTGGGCGAGAGACGTCTCGATTGACTGTGTATAATTTGTTCACATCACAACACACGTTAATTTCACGGTTTTAAAATTCACCCTTTGGATTAGTAAATGGAGAAGAGTGACGGCATCGCTTTGGGATTCTTGTGTAGACAAATACTGTGCCACTGATCCACACGCCATATTTTCCATGACAATTTGAACCGATCCCCGGCATTGTGGCATGCCAAACACCTCGAAAACCTGGACGCATTTGGAGAGGTCCAGAGACTTCAGGAAATTCAACTGACGAAGCATTTCAGCCGTCGGAGTTATCGTCGGTAATTGCTTCACGGCCACTGTACGGTTCTCATAGGATCCCAGCACGACCTCAGCGAATTGGCTACTCCCGATTTGTCGGCTTTGAAAGACGTAAAGTTGGGACTCAGGTTCTGGCATCGGCTGTTCGACGACGGGTTGAGCTCCGAATGGCCGAACCAACGGACAGTTCAAGGTGTCCTGACTTGGATCTAGTTTAATTCAAACAAAAATCTCAATTTTCGCCAAAATAGACTGTCTTTTATTGGTTTATCAACAACCCAGACTGTGCATACTGATTAGAGCTTTTAAAAGAGCCCAAATACGGTCTCTCTGGCCATCCAAATTGTTTTGTGAATTGTTCTAGTTTTATTTTAATCCGGATGTTTGAAAATGACGGCGTTTTGCTATATTGACACGGTTGATGTCACCTGTGAGCACTTAAGCCTGTGCTTGCATTTACTTTATCTCTGCGTGAGGCGTAAATGTCGATAATGTTAATGACGCATTCCACACTTATACCAACCTTTTTTGCATCACTCGTGGCTTAACACGAGAGGCACATCACTGTAGCTCAACGCTCAATTTATCATTGCTTTGAGAGGATTTTGCCAGTGGTGTTTTAGGGCTTTGCACAATGACACCAAAATAATGGTCCAATAATAATCATCCTCCTGTTACTCTTAGGTGAAATTTGAACCTCAACAGGCTACTCCAGATTTAGCGTATTTGTTTAGACATTGCCACCAAAATTGGTCCTTTTAGTAAAATGGTGTATTTGCGTGTGAATTTTCCACTGGAAAATCCAATTTTGATCATCTTGCAAATTGAAATACTATTAAATATCACAAGTGATTCAGTTTAAATCAGGTCACCGGTACTGCGTTAATTCACTGTTTCTGGTATAAAAAGGGGATATTCAGCAATTTTTGTAATTTTAAACATGATTTTATTAAATCGGACATAAAAGGTGCAGGGCAGGTGCCTGACTTACTTGAAAGAGTGCGGATGAGTTCTGATAGTCTCTCAAACACTTGCGTTTGTTTGATATAGTAGCGTCCATTACAATCTGCTTGAATTTTGTAATTGTTGATTTCTCCTGGTCTGCCCGTCAGGACACTGAGAGCGATCACATTCTCTTCTGAAAATTAAATTAGGGGAAAATGTAAGAACAAAATTGTCAAACTAAATATGGCTGGTAAAAAAGCCTCCAAGTTATAAATGTTGCCACGTTCCTGTAAATAGCGTGCTGGACGTTTCCAATTTGAATACCCATATGCAGATAATGTAACCAAGCACTAGTAAAAAACAATTAATGCCAGTTTTCAATGGGATAGATACAACACACTATGTACCGTCAAAGTAAAGCCAGAGTGCAATCTTGAGCATGTGCTCAAATTTAGTTGAATTGATGTCGCTAATATTCGATCTACAACTAAACAAATAGCAACCGAAATCATAGTTTTTGCTGCTCTAAATCGCCTCTGGAACTTTATTGGCTCGAATTCGAGCATTAACGGCCATGGTGTTTGTTACACTGAGGTGAACTTCTTGGTGGCAGCAGTAAGAAAATACTGACCAGTTGAGGGCCTCAGAATGAAGGTTCCTCTTTCAATACCCGGTTGAGTGAGCCGTCTAAAAGCTTCTGATCGGTCAATGGGAAACCACGCGTCAAACACGGTAGATTGTCCATGCTTATCAGTGACGCAGTGTCTAGGTACATTGCTCCGTTTTCCAGTGCATACGTTTTTAACATCGATTGAATCGTACAAAGGGCGTCCGCACGACTCCAAAATATCACCCTCACGAATAACTAGTCCATTACTCGGAGCCGGACTGTAATCATACAGAGCGCAAAAGTAGCTTTTTTCTGCAGTTGCACCGACGCGACCCAATTCTTCAACACGAAAATGTAGGTCAGATAATTCACTCCTTTTATCGTCTTCCCCTGTACTCCACCAGGAGCGCAAAGTTGCAAGACAAGTCTATGAGCATTTAAATAAACGTACATTTTTCTCATTGCCTCTACTCATTAATATAAAAAAACCCTATCTACTCAATAGTTTTATCGGTGGGCAAAATAAATTACACCCAGAAATTGGTGATTTGTTCCATAAATACACAATGCTGATTTTTTAATCTAAAAAGCATATCGCTAGCAAACTACTTTAGAAACTGCACTGTTATTGTTATGCATACGCTAATAATTTGCTCTATGTCAATCACGA